TATAGGTGTGAGCCATCATGCCCAGCTGGGAATATAAATTGACATAACTATCATGGAAAACAGTATAGAGCTTCTTCAAAAAAATTAAAAATGGAAGCATATGACCCAGCAATTTCACTTCTTAGTACTTATTCAAAAGAATTGAAATCAGCATGTCAAAGAGATGTCTGCACTCCCGTATTCATTGCAGCACTATTCACAATGGTTAAGATGTAGAAATAACCTAAATGTTGATGAATAGATAAAACGTGGTAGATACATATGATGGAATATTACTTAGCCTTAAAAAAGGAGGAAATTCTGTCATATACTACAATATGGATGTACCTTGAGGATATTATGCTAAGTGAAATAAGCCAGTCACAGGACAATATTGCATGAATCCAATTATACATGGTATCTAAGATAGTCAAATTCATAGATGCTGAGAGTAGAATGCTAGGGGTTGGGGAAAAAGGAAATGAGGAGTTGCTAACCGACAGGTATAAAGTTTTAGTTATGCAAAGTAAATAAGTTCTAGAGATTTGTTGTGCAACATTGTGCCTATAGTCGATGATACAGTATTGTACATTTAAATATCTGTGAAGAGGGTTGATCTCCTATTAAGTACTCCTGCCACGATTAAACAGAAATAACAGCCGGAGTCATTCAAACTACAAGTCATTGTGAAAGCAACTGAAAACTGTTTGCTGTTAGCTAACTATGGTGAGTTTTATTCTGATATCTTTTTAAAGGAACTCAATCATATGTTCTGTTTTCCAACTTTTCAACAAATTTTCCCAGAAAGGAAAAAGGAAGTTCTTCTAAAGCATGTGTTGGTGATGGTCTCTGTTGACATGACAAACAAAACAACAAACTTAGTAGGGAATACTTGGCAGGCAGAGGATACTTAAAGGGCTCATGGGGCCCTAGAACAGAAAGAGACTTGAGATGACGAAGTGCTCTTTGGTGCTTGTGATGCCTCAGTGCATGAGCCATGGCGGACTCTCCACACTTGTCCTTGACTGTCAGAGTCACGTCATCGGTCGAGTTTCTAGGGTGATCAGAGAGTCCCTCTGCAGCTACTTAGAAGTTGCCTGTGTGCTCCTCATCGGTCTCACACAATTTTAAATTCTGCACTGTCCCTTCATGTTCATGGTCTGATATCAGGTGGCCACCTCCACCTTCAGGCTTCAGACAAGTGCCAATTTGCTCTGGGACTTTGTGAAAGGAGAATGCTTTAATCCTACCTGACAGAAAGAAAGTTTAATGATGCCTAACAATTGCTGAAGACCTAAAAAACACCTATCAGGTGTTTATAACATCAACATCGGGGAAGCTTTCTAGAAAAACATGGAGAAAAATACGATATTTGAAGAGAATGGAGGTGAACATACCAAGAAGTTCCAGTCAGCATACGTGGAGACTGAATTCACCCAGAATGTATTTCAAAAAAATCCTGTCAATTTGACTGAACAAACAGCTTTCAGATATTACGCTAATTGTTTCACTGACAAAATCAGTCCAGAGAGCAATTTATCTTCAAACATAGGCCTACTCATTGACCAGATACTTTTCCTTCTAACCCAAATTCCTCTTCCATTACCCTCACTCATTTTGATACTTTCACTAGTAGAGAATGCCCACCTGGCTTCTCTTTGTCCTCCCATTCTATCTTTGTTCCCCTCCGTAGGTTCTAATTTAAGAGGAGTTTCTACTGGCCTAGTAGATATTTACGAAGCCGGTGAAAAGCACACGGCAATTTCTCCACATAGATTTGGTGGGAATGAGGTTCATCTTATGCTATGATCTGTGGATTGTCATGCAAAATGAGATACTATGTTATGATGGCTGTAAATCGGTCATTATATTAGCTTTACTTGTCACAGCATGTCCCTGCATGTGGCTTCTGAGGAGGGCGCATCGTGAAAGCAGGTCGGGAACATCACTGTTGTCCATTGCTTGTGTGTGCATGTATGTGTAAAGGAGCTGGTTGGAGAAGAATGTCTCCTTGCTGAGGCTCAGAAAGCCGCATGGAGCTGGATGACACCAGGTGCCAGACCCCCAGAGTGGGAGAGACCCAGGTCTCCAAGCTGAGTTCTGGGATCAGCCCAAGGCTGTGGCTACATCAACGGGAAAGGCGAGAGGGCCTGGGGCGTGCCAGGGGAGTGTACCCCAGGCTCCCTCTAGATATGAAAGGCCTGGCATGCTGGAGGCCCACAAGTCAGGGTTAAGCCGTTTGTTTTCCTTTTATTCTTCTCAGATTTCCATGCCCTTCCTAACATTCAGACCTGTAAACAGCCCTGGGATGGAGAGAAGGTGGTGGCAGCCAGCACTGATGACTTCCACTGCTCCCCTCCCTCATGCTCCCTGGGGTCTGAGGCCTGTTTCCAAAGTGGGACTGGTTTAGGAAGGCCTCTTGACCAAACAACTAAGGGGAGGCCTCCAGAGCTCAGCGTTATCTCGAACGTGAGCACATCAAGCTCTGAGGCCAGCAGGCAAGTTACTGTTTAATTTTGAGTATTTTCAAACTAAAGTACAGCTATTTCCTTCCAATAAAATCCTGTATTATGGCACCACTCTTTGTAATCATTTTAACATCAGTGCTTAGTGTATAGATTGGAAAAGGGTAGAAAGTCAAAAATGGAGTGCCCCAATGTCTCCCACAATTTTGTACACAAAGAAGCAATTATTTTCTCTCCTAATTGGCAGAGATAGGCTTATACTCCACTTATTTCTGGATCCCCAAGTCGTTTGTTTAGCCCTGTAAATTTGCTGGTGAACCGTGGTAGTAAAGCTTCTCAACAGTTCTGCCTACCAGAATGCTGAGATAATCTAGGTATTTGGAGGCATGAAGTGGAATGACAATATCTCAGTGGCTCCGATGGAAGGTGACGGCTGATGTCCCCTGGTCCAGGAGCGTGTACCTCATGTAAACATTCAGGTCAAGTGGCAGAGCTCAGCTAATATCCAGAAGTCCACTGACACCAGAGCTAGCTTTCCATTCAGGAAAGGCTTTTAAGAAACGGAACCGGGATAAAGCCAAGATTAAGGGATAGGAAGAAAGCTTTCAATTGCGTTGCTACAATATTCTTCAAAACCAGACTTTGACTTCCGTTCAGCCTCTCTCTGGAGCTGAAGGTGGCTTGAGTTTCTTACCTAGGGGTGACTCCGTGAGTACTGAATTAGTTGACAATGTCCAGCATGTTTCCACCCAAGGTTAAGCGAGCGGCTGCGTGAGGCGTGTGTTGGGCATGTCGCGCTTGGGTGTAGCTTTGTCGCCCTGATGTACAAAACCGAGACTTCCCGAATGCTCCCAGAAAAGCACGACTGGCGGGGCACTCGGCAGGTCGCCGAGACGCCTTCCCGCAGTCTCTGCTCCCCCACCTCGTTCCCTCTCCTGCACGTTAGCACACCACGTCGTGGCGACGGAAATCCTTCCTGGCGAAGGGCGCCGGGCCACGCTGGGGATCTGTGGCGGAGAGCGGGACCCTCGTCATCGCCACGTACTTTGTCGCCGCGACGGGGTAACCCATGGTTACTGAGCTCCCTCAGCTAGGGGCAGGGAGCCTCCGCTCCCCGCCGCCCTATAAAAGCGCCCCGCAAAGG